CCATTAATGCCCTGTAATGACCTTTACAGTTTCTTACACTACGATACTTATTTAAGAAATAACATGCAACATTTTGTAATCTAACATTTCTGATACCCCTGTAGTAAAATGATGTGTGCCCTGAGTAAGTCTTGCTTTTCAGTGATGAATGAGAATATTAATGGGGATGTTCATGTTCTCTCTCTTCTTTTTTGGCAGGACACACTAGGCTAATAAAGGGACGTGTAATAGCTGGATAAATCTCACCTTACCAGAAGTCAATTTTATGGACCGTTACCTACAGCTATAAACACCCTCAGTGCCACTATGTGGGAAAAACATGGAATTCACAAGCTTTCCAGTGACAGAGCTTTAATCATTCTATACTGTATGTGCTGTGTGGCTGTCTGAATGGAATTCTTACAGCAGGTGGAGACATTGGTCAACTTTTTTTGCAAAGGGCAAAGTGGTATTTAGTTGCAATGAAAAAAGCTAGATGATCTTACTTACCAGATTTACAAATTAGCTTTTTATGCAGCAATTTATTTCAATTAATATGCAGATACACTAATATTTTCCTCACTCATTAGTGAAATTCTTTCTGATGCTCTCGTCAATTATGTGCAGATTGTGGCGAGAGGAGACAGAACTTCAATTAGAAGAGAAAATCAGATAACTGACACACAGCCAAATTAAATGCAGCCTGTGTGATTGAAACGCTAAAAGTATAATCATAAACATGATAAAAAAAAAGTGTATGTCTTTGATAAACACTTCAGCTCTCCTACTTAAGTGTTCACATGAAATCAATCCTATTTTTGCACCAGTTTGGTTCTGGATAAAAAAAATCGAATTGCTCTTGAACTGGAATCTAGACCCCCAACCCTAAAATCAACTCTTTCTATTTTACATATATGGGTCAGGCGCTTCCGCAGTTGGGAAGATGGGATACTTTGTGGTCTCTGTAGGCCAGACCAGGCTTTTGAAGATCTGCAGTCGGAGGTTTGTTTGGTGGATGAGCAGGGGCCTGTGTGTTGAAGCTGTTTGGAATTATGTTTCCCAAAGTGCTGAGTCGTTTAGATGTGTAACGATACCAGTGAAATGAGCTCGCTCCAGACGACTGCTTCTGCAGAAGACAGGGATTCTAGAGATATGACACCGTTAATGTCCAAAAAGAGCCTATTAGTTCTTTGTTTGTTGCCAGTTTCTGTAAAATAAATAATGATACCATGCTTGTTATATTGTCAGTCGGTTCCTCCACCTCTGCGGTCCAGAATGAAATATCCCAACAACTAATGAATGGATTACTGTGAAATTTGGTAAGTGAAGAGGTATATTCATGGTGCAGAGGATGAATCCTAATGACTTTGGTGATTCCCTCCTCTAGCGCCATGAAGTTAATTTAAATGTTTGTTTGTTACATACATTCAAGGTCCCCAGAGGAATAGTAAAAACTTTGTGGATCTGCTGACATTTTATCCACCATCATCAGGTCAAAATTTCCATTTTTCCAATACTTTGGTTTATAACCAAATACCTGAGGTAAAGAGATTCCCATCAGCCTAATCTTAATGTGAAGTGCTAATTAGCAAACACTTGCATGCTAACATGGTGAACATGCACACCAATATACCTGCTATACATCAGCTTGTTAGTATTGTCGTTGTGAGCATGTTAGCATGCTGGCTTTAGTTGCTAGCATGGCTGTAGACTCTTCTTGATTTGAATCAAATTTGATCAAATGCAAATTACCGTACAACATCAGTTAGAGTCTCACAGAGGGAGCCTGTTGAAACAGACCGTGATGGTTTTAATATATAGTGCGCTCACTGTGGACACATTCATAAAAGTTTTGTTTAATGAAATTACCACAATCTAGCAGAGAGAGCCTGGGGCCGCAGCGTCGGAGTTGGTTAGGCAAATAATGAAGCAGCCGTTTATAGTCTGCTGTGTGCTCTGTACTAGAAGGGGACTGGGCACATGCTCAAAATTGGCAGAAAATTGTAAAGGAGTCCTGTGATTCCCCCTATACATATATATTTACAGTATACAGTATTTTCAGTAGCAGCCCACAATACATATGTATCAGAATCTGTGACTTTTATGCGATAGTGTATATTTTTATCTCTCATATCAAAGATGGCTCTTTGTAAGTGCCATCTGTCATGATGAGCACAACAAATACATGGCAGCCAGACTGACGCAGCAGAGAATCCTGGTGAATGTTTGCCCTTTGGTGACATCTGCTGGTGGAAAACACTAACACTTAAAAATATTTACTCCAAGATAGATTACTGCTGCAGATATAATCAGAATATTACGACCATCACAACTACCACCACTGATTGTGATGTTAAATGTCTGCTTTACGACAAAATGACTCGGCTTTTGTTCTGTCTAAGTCTTGCAGGGCAAAAAACACAAATTTTATAATATATTTCATTATTATGATTAATAACCAGTGGGTGAATGGAACAAAGTACATTTCCTGTAGTACTGCACTTTATGAAAAACTTGCACATTACTTATTTCCATGCTCTGCTACTTTATACTTCTATTCCACTACATCTAACAAGAATATAGGCCTATACTTTTTAATGCATATAGGGGCAAATTATCCAGTATTTGACCAAAGAAAAGGTTAGAGAGGTTCCTCTCCCATCAATCAGCTCTCAGATTTCCACCCTATGTCCTGTTTCAATGCTTTGGATAGTGAGAATAAAAGTTTGGCTATGTACAATAATGTAGAGAGGATTTACTGTATGAAATACTACAAGCACTATTCAGAATCCATCAAATGCGGATAGCGGTAAAATTTGTGTGGGTCCCTGCCCATGTTGGAGTCGATGGCAAGGAGAAGGCAGATGAAGGAAATTGATATATGGGGCACAGGTGCAACTGACAGGAAATTCCGCATGCGTGATGGGGAGATCGCACGATTTTTACCGCAAGACACACCAGAGGGAGACCAGGAAGCTAAGTGCTATCATATTGTATTATAATATGTGACCTCTAATTAAACGGCAACCTCACCCAAAAGTGTGAAAGCCTGGAATCTTTACGTCGAAGCGAGTAAGTAAACACGATCTTCACTAAACCTGTTTGCTGGAACAGGGGCTTCTGCTTTGGTTGCTTGTGTCCATTGTAAGTATTCCTGCCTATTTTGGTTTCTCGTTTCACACCAGTTTGTTCTCAGTTTAGCTTTTGTTTCTTCACTTGTACAGGGATTTGCCTCAGCATGCTCCTTACGTTTTATTGCTTGCCTGTTTGAATCTTTTGGAATCAGCTTTTTATTATTAAAGCTCACCTTTTGTCCCTTCAACCTGTATTTGGGTCCTCCCTTTTGAACTGTAAAAACATGTTGGGGACAAAATTCCGCTGCTGAAAATAGTCCCTCAGAAATAACATAATCATGTTTGAATAAAGTTTGCTAAAACTACAATGCCCAGCTTTTTTATACAACCTTTTTTAAATGAAAACCTAAATGAATGATGTGATTTACATCTTCATTAGAAATGAATTGGCTTTGGGCTGAGTGCAACAGACAAGTAGAGAAGTACTGAGAGATGGACTTTGTTGATATTGATCTTTTTATGGGGTTAGTAAATAATAAGAAATATATTTAGTAACACCAAATGTGATGGATAGAGGTCATTTAGGTTGAATGTTCACTCTTGGGCGCTTTTCAGCGTCGGCTCCAGAAGATGCTGCAGTTTAAAGAGGCTCTTATTTGGAGAGCTATGTGATGATATATGGACAATTTTGTTGCAGTTGTAGTTATTTTGATAAAGCAAGATGGTGAATCGTCACTATTTTCATGTTCATCAGGCTGGTGAGGCACCACTGTGTGTGTAGCATTTTGCAGTCACCTTTAAATGACCAGATAAAATAATTTACCAAATAGCATTACTGATTGATTGTATTCAAATGTGTATAACTACATGTTCTGTAGATACAGGTAATGAGAAGACCGGAAAGTGAAGAAAAAAAGTATTATTTTGCAATTTCACTTTTGTTTCACTCGTTGACTTAAATTTGCAATCGTTTAACGTTTGAAGTTTCTAAAACTCATAACATGCCCGGTTGTAATAGCAATAAACGATCACAAGCTTAATGCTGTTATTACAGAGCCTGGTACCTCAGACGTCTTTTGACTGTTGCCGGGAAGGAAGAGCAGCTTTCGCTTTATAAATGAAATATTAAATTTATTCAGTAACACAGTGTGGTGGATCTGCAAGATAAGAGTTTAGGCTTACTGTGGACAAAATAAAGAGTGTGGGTTGTGAATTTGGTAGCAGAATGTTATTAGGTTTGCATAAGTCTAATTAGATTTTATTGATCTTAAGTCTCTAAGTGTCAGTTGTTAGTCAAGTCTTAGAACAGGGGTTTAGGTTTATGTCTCCTATTTGTTATTTCAAGACTCAGAATGCACAAATTCACTCTGTTATTACTAAGTCAAGTCTTAACAGTCACAGTAGGTTCACCTATACAAAACTCAGTAATAACTCCTATTGGACTTCCTTGTACTTTGTGCTTCTAATTTTCTCTCCTCTTGTTTATGTAAATGAAGGTTGACACCTTTCAATATAATGCTTTTCATGGATGTTGTAGTGGATTGCATTGAGACTGTACAGGGGAACCAGTAAGATAAACGATCAGTGATTAAGTGAAGATCAAGGATTTTTTCACTTCAGAACATTTCGCCAAATTAACGTCGGCATCGAGAAGACATCACAAACACAGCAAAGACTATTTTGTCACAGCTCTGCCCCTTCTCTCCTGTCTTTTTATTTCTCACTCGCCTATCAACTCATTCAGTGCACCTGTCTGCCTTCCTCATCATCAGCCTAACTCCCTTCACCTGCCTCTGTTCACTGATCAAGCACTCCCTCCTCATCAGCACAACTCCCCTCACCTGCCTTTATCAGCCGCTATATAAACCCCTGCCTCTCAGTCACTCACTGCCAGATCATTGTCATGTCTACCCGCCCGTTTGGCTTGTCCTGCCCGCCCGCCTGCCCCGTCTCTGCTGGATTTTTCCTCTTGTCTGTTGATTCACTGTGTTCCTGTAAGTTTTATGTTCTGATTTAAGTGTTCAATAAATTCCCGCTTCACTCTACTTCTGGTCTGCGTTTCAGTCCTCCATTATGCCCCATGACATATTTAGTTCATCACAAAGCTTTTGTTAACTCTTGTATTCTTACAAAGAGGAATTCATTGATGTGCAGGATTAAATCATTGTTTCAAATTAAACTTGCTCACATTCTCACCTCTTAAGGAGGTCTCATTGCAGTAATGTTCCTCAAATGTGTCTTCTGGACCCTTATTCCTTAATCTGCCTCAGGTTGGGAATCTGTGTCGTCTGGGGCTGGATGGACAAGCCAAAAGAAATCAAAGGGAAGTTCTACTTTCTCATCATTGCTACCCTCATCTTCATCCTCTGTATCGCTGTGAGAACACCCAGGACGTACAGGGCCGTCCCACAGCCACGTGGGGCTCTGAACATGGCTTGCCCGTTGCGGATCTCTGAGCGGACCATCACCCCCCTGAACCGCACCAAGCACTTACTGGTGTCGGCCTACATGGACCAGAGAGTGGATGGCTTCGATGTACGCATCATTGGAATATTTAAGAGAGACTCCATCCAACCCCTTTACTGTGTTTTCTGCTGTGCAGGCCAGTTATCAAATGCAAATCCAGGAACAATTTTACAACACTCGGACAACTTTGGTTTTCCCTACGTCACTACGGATGTAATGTGTCAGATTCCTCAAAACTGCAACGCTACACATGTCAGTCTCCTGACTCAGCCAGGCAGAGAGAGGGTCTTTAACCAGACCTGGCTTCCTATAGGAAACCAGAAAACCAAAGGGAAGGAGGAGGAAAAGTTGCTGTTTAACTTCACAGTCTGCATCTCAAACCTGTTTGGAGACTACAACAACGTGCTTCAGTTTGCACAGACCCTGGAGATGTACAGGTAAGCGCACCAACAACGCCACATAGTTAGAAATGAGCTGAATCAACTTTTCAAATAAAACAGGATATTTTTAGCTTTGCAAAGGTACTGTTGCAGTGTCATCACATCATACAGGTGTTTCTGTTCCTGCCGAGTAGGGCCGTCATATTTTCAAAAAGTCAAGTTCTAACTAACACATAATTAGTTCTAAGTGAACCAAACCTTGCATGAGTCTGACATACAGTGTGCTACTGTCACATAAGCTAACTTAAAGTGGTATCTAGCCCTCCAGATAGTTTCAGTTTTACTTGTCTGGGTTTTGAGCTATTCATATATCCGTCAAGTTTCCTCCTCTACCCAAACAAAACCAAACATGTCCATCTCAATCTCAAGTCGTTATAACCAATGATATTATTTGATACGCTCTACATCAAAAAATCAACAAACGGCTGGCATTTGCAGAAACAGATTCTGCTGTTGTTTTTAGCCATGCTTGTGTAATAGCTCTGAGGGTGTTTTTTTTTGTTTTTTTGTTTTTTTGTTTTTTTTGTAACTTGGGTAAACCAATCATTTACCATTTTTGCTTGCGCCAGGCTACTGGGTGTGAACAGGGTGGTGATCTACAACACCAGCTGCGGCCCAGACCTCGACCGCCTGCTGCAGAGCTACAGCCAGGAGGGCTTCGTGGAGATGGTGCCCTGGCCCATCGACCAGCACCTGAATCCATCTCGCGGCTGGCTCTTCTCACAGAGCGGGGGGGACGTGCACTACTTCGGTCAGTTGACCACGCTTAATGAGTGCATTTACAGATCCATGGACCGCTCACGCTACGTCCTGCTGAACGACATCGATGAGATTATAATGCCATACAAGCACAACAACCTGATGTCTCTGATGGAGATGCTCCAACAACAGCATCCAAATGTAGGGTAATTCTGGTGTGCATTTCACAAATATCACTTAATTAGCCAACCATAAGATTATATTTGATGATTTAATATTTGTATTGTCTTTCCATCTTCCATGCTGTATTCATGTAGACAGGAGTGTACCTCATTGAGAACCATATCTTCCCCAAGAAACATTTTGAGCCAAGTGGGAGGTTTCACCTGTCTCGATGGAACGGGGTGCCGGGAGTTAATATTCTTGAGCACATCTACAGGGAGGACCCCGACAGAGAGTCATACCACCCACACAAGATGATAGTTAAGCCGAGGTAAGCTGAAAAGTAGCTCCTTTTATAAAACACTGTATTAGGCAAAGTTTTTATGTCATAGTAAAACATGTTCAAATACAGTACTATCACGTTGAACGGTGACATCTCAGACAACATGCCAGAGTCCCAATACATATGTGGTTATCCTGGTTGAAAGGAAAGTTTCCTCAAAGACCGTTATGTGTCCGTGCACCACAGGTTGGTGGAGCAGACGTCAGTGCATGAAGTGATCAAGAATTCTGGACAACGGTTCAAGGTTCCAATGGACGTTTGTCGGATCATTCATGTTCGCGTGGCTCTGCGGCAGTCGTTGACGCTGGAGCAGCTCAATGAGGACAAGCGACTGTGGGACTTCCAAGAACAACTGATTCCCAGTGTGGACAAGGCGCTGAGGAGAGCTGGGCTGGGGCAGAGCTGATGGACAGACGTGCTGAACGGGTTGAATGTGACCCTCGCCAGTGGTGGCCATGTCACTACCATTGTTTTCCAAAATGTCGTCCTTTTTTGCACTGAAGGGCCACCATACTGCCGGTGCTACTGCTATGAGCTACACTGAATTGACTGTTTAATAGTAGTAAAGGTAAATCAGTAGCAGTACTTAATTGATGCTCATTGAAAGTGTGGTTGTGTGAATGTTGTGTCACAGGATGGTGCAGCGGACCTCAGTACATGAAGAACATCTTGTTCCCAACCGGTGGGTTTGTTCTATGGGAAAACCTTAAATTTAAATTAATCCTCAGTGACATTTTTTAAAAACAAAATAGAAAAACACGTCCAATTAAACTACTGATAAAACAGGACAATTAGTGTATCAGTATAAATACTTGACCAAAACAATAGCACTAAAAACTAAATCTCTAAACTAGACATCCTTATCTACCACATAATGTGGCAGCCTCGCAAAGTCCGATTGTCTACCTCTTGTATTTAATAGCTTTGTTTTAGGGGATGCATTTTTTGCTCCAGCCGGACAAGAGGCCCCTCCAACAGCAGCAGCGTCCTCGGCACAGGTAGCTGAAAAAGAAATTAGAACATCAAGGCAAACTTAACTAAATAGACTGTATAGAAGTTAACTTGCCTCCCATAAAAATAAATGAATGTACTGTGTGATGGAAGATTTCTATGTTAATCGGGAGAAGAGTTGTTTTAAGCATTTATTTGCTTGCAAGGGAAGAGTGCACCACAGATACTCATTCAGCAGTCTGAGTGAGCTTCACTGTGGTTGTGGTTTCTATGTTCCTGTTTTAAACCTTCTGAGAAACAGTATGTGAATGTCTTCAGTATGTCTTCAGTTAAGAAAACAGGTCTTTAGGTGCCGACTGTGTCTTGCAGGGCCTGTTTTTACTTTTCCATTATACTGAGACATCACACTATGTTCTTTAAAAACTTTCCATGATGCTAATACATATTTTACCATTACAACTGTCAAAAATACCAAAACAATTTGAATGATTAGTATTTATCTGTCTGCTGAACTGAATGTAATGTGCATACGGTCAAAAGGTCAAACTCCATGAGGAACAATATTACCAGGTGAGGTCAGCTGGTCAATAACTGTTAAACCAAAAATATCTAACCAGGCTAGCTGTATCCCTCTGTTCCCAGTCTTTATGCTAAGCTAACTGTCTCCTGGCTCCTTGCAGCTTCATATCTAACAGAAAAATATGTGAGTGCCCAGTTGAATTATTGAATTGATCCTTTTCACACAAATCAATAAAATACATTTCTCTCAGTTCTGTAATGACAGAATATGCCAGGCAGAAATAAAGCTAATAAGAATCGCACTGTGGCCCGTAGGCTACTAACACACATAACGAGATATTTTTGCAGCCTGAAATGTTTCTTGCACAACAGGTGGAGACAGTTGGTCGACTAGTTTCGCACAAAATGAAGTTGTGCTTAAATACCTCAAACGGCCATATGACTTCGTCCACGTCTGCAGATTTTTTGGTTTCTCTTTGTGCTGCACTTCATTGACATGAATTCTGATAAAGTTGGTGAGCCTCTGACTTTTCCTCTAGTGCCACCAATGCATTCATTTACCTTGTGAAATACTTCAACATCTACGAGGTGGCTTGGCACCGTATTTTGAAGAGGCATTCATGGCTCCTACCATTTATCCCATGGTCATCCCCTGAGTTGTCCTTTAGAGGCATCATCAGGTCATAAATATACTTTTTCCAATACTTTGGTTTCAGGACAAACACCTGCATTACTAATGACATTCCCATTGGCCTCTGCTGTACTTTGTGGTTCGTGCTACTTAGCAAATGTTCCTACACTAATATTTGCATTTCACTTTAAATACAGCCCCAGAGAAACTAGTGTGGTTGTTGACTTTCAGTCAACATGTCGAATCGTGGTTTTGTTTTGCTGCCCTCACCTGACTAATATAATGACAATGGGGCATCAAACAAAGTCCCACAGCAGATTTAGGTGACAGGACTATCAAAAGAAGGGCAGCTCCATTGTATATATACACACACGGAAAAACAATTCCAGTAATATGCTCCTGAGTTATTTGATAAATGTGGGAATTAGATAAATAGATAGTTACTTTATTAATCCCGCAAGGGGATTTACAGAGAAACATATGCTCTAAAGCAGGGGTCCCCAACCTTTTTTGCACCACGGACCGGTTTCATGTCACACAATATTTTCACGGACCGGCCTTCAAGGTGTGGCAGAAAAACACGACGAAATAAAATGATATGATCGGCATGAAAACAAATATAAAATGCATAAATAAATGCAACTCACAATAACGCTGAATTAGTGGGAGCCCTGAGCTTGTTTCTCTGCAAGGGACTGTCCCATCTGGGGGTAATGGGAGACTCTAGCTGTGTCTCAATTCAGGGGCTGCATCCTTCGGAGGCTGCATTCGTAGACCGGTTGCGTCACAGCGCTGCGACTAGTGCTGTCCCATTTCGCATTTTTGTTGAAGAGTCCTTCAATGCAGCCGACGAATGCAGCCTTCTGGTCCCAGATTTGGAGGACACATCTGATGTATCCTTCGCGGCCCACCATATCCCAAGATGCATTGCGTGCCGGTGCGCTATTACCGGCAGCACGGCTGCCTGCATCCGACTGTAGTAAGCCTTGTAAAGTAACTTTTAATAACTTCACTTTCAAACCTCAGAGGTTGAATAATATCTTACTGAGTTTGTGATGATTTTACAGATGATTTATACTTTATATCATGTACATAAACGGACCAACGTGAGCTCAGGTAGACAGGTTGTGAACCTGAAATATCACTTTAAGTCCGGTAACGTTTCAAACGTTGAGATTAACTACACAAATTCACTGCATTTGAGCATTTTGCTGATTCTGTTCTTGTTTTGTTATAGAGAGCCAGGAGCACAATTCAACACAGCCTGCTCAGCTGAGGGCACAAGAGGGTTTTAAAATACTTTGTTGATTTTTATTTTCCTGTTAATCACTTTTTCTCTGTATTTGGACCAAGAGAATATACTTTAAAAAGGACAAAAATAAATAAGTAACGATTTTAACTTTTTCCGACCGACTCTTTTCTTCAACTGTTTTGGGAACTCAGAGAGGAGAGGGCTTCTCTTAAGGGAGAGGCAGCCCAGCCCCTGTGGTAAGTCTGCAGCGATCCAGCACGGTACACAACTGATTGCATACTTTATGCGCACACACATCTTCACATTCTAGCATTCGTTTTCTATAGGTAAGAGAAACCCGGGGAAGTCCCGCTTTATTTTGAAAGAGCTTTATATCTGTTGAGCTCTGAGCAGGGACGGATAAATTGAAATTTGATATAAAATAAATAAATTCAATAAAAGAATTTATAAAGACCAACGGCTATTCGAGCGACCGATTATACTGTTTAGTATATCGCTGTTTGGCGATTCGGAAAAGAAAGCAAACGAGCTATCGATACTGGGCTCGTGTTGGCGATTTATTACTATTTAGTGCAAATCAGCTACCGGTCCGAGGTTCTCTTTAAGCGGAGGCATTGAGGCAAATCAGGGAGGGGTGAGCTATCGGCCACGCTCTTCCATTAGGCCAGGTGAGCGATTCACATAGAGAGAGACCTGAACTTCGCCTTTCTCCCCCTTCTCGCAGCCTCTCGTTGCAAATCAGGGGCGCTCACAGGGAGTGACCGGACAGCGGGGCACAGGTGCCGTGGATCCGTGGTCACTCCGACGGCAGCTCGGGTCTGTCCGTCGCCGGCAAGGGTCCTCTCAGTTCGCGCATCCACAGCTGAGAGCCCCTTGTTCCACTTTTGTTTGTTTCAAACAAAAGGCCTCTTATTTATTTATTACTTCTTGTTTCTTGATAAATTAAAACATTTTGATAAAGGTACGGCATTACAGTCTTATCAAGGGGAATTTTGGCCTTTCATTTTCACTACATACGGTGTTTATTTCAGTCATAGCAGCAGTATTTTATTGACTACAATAGTTAGTTGTACTTTACTGACTTTGACCAGTCAAACTCCTACAATCTCTGCTGGAAATATATGTTAAAGATACTTAATCACAGTTGTACATTTTGTTCCAGGTATCATATGGACTGCTTGACTCCGTCACTAAACACTGGCCCAGAAGGTGACTGGATTTGTGCTGAGTGTGCGGTCACTCCCCAGCATACAGGTAAAGCTTAACTAAGTAGGTATCTGGCACCTTAAATACACACATAATTCTGTTATTTTGCAAATGAATTGATTAAGGAAAATATAGCTGCCTCCTCCTTTAAAGGACCACACTGGTGTTTTTGTATCGTTGGTCCATTTAATTACTGCCAAACATTTTCCAAAGCAATAATAGTACCTGATGAATGTGTCTTCCAGGCAGGCATCTCTTTATGATCATAAAGTATGGCAGTTAATGTTAATAAAGTTGATTTTCATACCACACTGGCATGAACTGAATCTCGTAGCTGCCTGCCTGAATAGATTCAGGGATAAAATAAAGGAACATGTCTAAATTGTCTAAACACATTATGTGAATGTGTCCCTGCACAGATGGCTCCATGGTGGAGGGTGAGATCAGTGATGGAGAACTGACCTTTTCTTTAGTAAACAGTTAGGGCTTTGTTCTGAAGGTATTCCTCAGAGACTCTTCTGTAGACTTTGCTGTATGATAAAAGATTCTCAAGTTCCGACTTTTTTATCCTATACAGGTAGCCGGAAACGATATATATCTGCTAGGAAATATAAACCGGTTATTGTCATATGTAAATATAAAATAATAGAGAGTAACATTGTTTGCATTAAACAGAAAACAGAGTCACACCTGGGGAAACAGATTTAATATTTTATCCAGATAGGTATCAAGATGTGTGAAATACAGAAAATGACGAACTTAAAAATGTAACGTATGCCATTAACTTTCCCCATGTGCAATATTCATTTAGGTAACCTCAAGTAACTAGGGCAAAGGAAAATTCCTCATGCTGTTATCAGATCCCCTCACTGTAGGGCACCGCTGTGGCATTGAACCACATTTCTTGCACATGTGCTGTTAGCAGTAATGCAGAAATCAACCAACTGACACATGTGCATCGTCTCTTGCTGCTGGAGTTTGTGGTTACTGTCTGAAACAAGCTTCTCTGTCCACTTGGGTTCATCTGTGTGGGTTGCTGCGTCTGCTCGTGTACAGTAGACAACATTGATTTATTGTAACTGCTGATAAGGATCAAAAGGCCACATAACCTTTGCTTCCCCTCACCACGGAGAGTCTCGTATCATCTTCCTCCATCAA